GTGCATATATGTGTGTATGTGTAGCATATGTGTATATGTATGTTATATGTATGTATATGTGAGTATGTATATTTGTGTATGTGTATATATGTGTGTTATGTGTCTATATGTATGTGTATGCGTGTGTGTGTGTGTGTGTGTGTGTGTGTGTTGGTGAGAAGAGGTCAGGTCTCTGGGGAGCCACTTCCAAGTGACCTCTCTTTACAGGGATCCGTTGGTCCCCAAGGAGACACCGGTCCTCCAGGGCCTCCTGGACCCCCGGTGAGTTGCCCAGAGTTCCCCTGTAAGGGTGCCAGGGGTGGGGAACTATGTCCTGTGTTCCCCATGGGGTCCTCAGGGCCTAGCAGGGGTGGGACAGACTTGAGGGCCTGTAGGGATGTGGGTGTGGAGGGCAGTTCCTGGAAAGCCCAGGGCAGCTATGAATTCAAGAGGGTTGGGGTGGGGCGGAGAGGGGACAATCCTGCTGGAGCAGTGACCTGGATCATATCTTTTGTGACTGTCTCCCCCTCATGTCTCGCTTATCTTGGGTTCTATCCCTCCCTCCACCGCTTCCATTCCCTCTGGCCTTTTCCTGTTTGTCTCCTTGCCCTTCCCACATCTGCTCCTGCCATTTCTCCCTCCTCCCCCTACCCCTTCTCCTTGGAGAGCCCTCTCTCTCTCATTTCCTTTCTTTGGCCTCTCACACACCTGGGCCTTTCTGTGTCTCCTTCCGGTGAGCCCCTCTTTCTGTCTCTCCCGCCCCCGTCCCTGTACTTCCTCTGGGCCCTCCTCTCCCTGGCTCCGCCCCACTCCAGGGTCCCCCGGCCGAGCTGCCCAGGCTGCGCCGCCGTCGCCGCCGCTCCCTTCCCGTCCTGGGGGACGGCCTGGAGGAGGTGCTGGCCTCGCTGGCCTCGCTGAGCGTCGAGGTGGAGCAGCTGCGGCGCCCTCCGGGCACAGCGGAGCGCCCGGGCCTCGTGTGCAGCGAGCTGCACCGCAACCACCCGCACCTGCCGGACGGTGAGCTCCCCGCCTCCCTGGGTCGCGGGGCGCCCTGGGTGAGGTCCCCGCTCACGGATGCGCTCTGGCTCTGCGGCAGGGGAGTACTGGATCGACCCCAACCAGGGCTGCTCTAAGGACGCGCTCAGGGTTTTCTGCAACTTCACAGCGGGGGGAAAGACCTGCCTCCACCCGGACAAGAAGTTTGAGACGGTGAGTGCCCCCGCCATCGCCATCGCCATCGCCATCGCCGGGCAGCTGGGCTGAGGACCCCGAGGTCCCGGAGGCCCCCTGCGAGGGGGTCAGGGCTCTGGGAACCCCCTTGTGCCCTCCCCCAGGAAGGGCTCTCCATCCGTACTCCCACCCCCACCCGCCTTGGTCTGAAATGGTCTCCTTTCTTCAGCCGACTTTGATTGGGTGCCTCTAAACAAACAAACAAACAAACAAACCAAACTCACTGCCACCGAGGAGATTCCAACTGAGAGCGACCCTGCAGGGCAGGCTGTCACTCTGTAGGGGGGTAGAAAGTGCCTCCTCTTTCTCCCACATGGAGCCTACTGCATCCCCAAGGAGCCCAAGTGCCTTGGCAGGGCCAGCAGTTCAAACCCGCAGAGGAAGAAGGAGGCTGTCTGCTCTGGCAAAGCCTCCCGCACTGGGAAACCCTGTGTCATCTGGAGCCAACTGGAATGCAGTGGCTTGGGGGCTCTGTCAGCTCCCCGCTGTACGCCCGGGGCAGGTACAGCAAGAATCAGGGAGACAGACGCTGCTGTCTCTGTGGGCCGGAGACACAGTCGTAAAGGAAGCAGTCTTGACGGGCCTTGCTCAGGTGCGGCTGTCTGGTGCTGAACCCCAGCCTTTCCCTGTGCGGCCACACCATCCCTGACTTTCGCCATCCCTGACTTCACTAGTTTATAAGCCCCACCTGGTCCTCCAGTCTGCAGGCTGGGAGGTGAGACCGTAGGGTCCCCCAGAAATCCTGGGGTTCTCCGTCATCACCGAGCCCTGAGCTGGGCACCAAGGGCATCCGCTTCAGTGACCCTCTTCTTGCCTCCAGGTGAAACTGGCCTCCTGGTCCAGGGAAAAGCCGGGAACCTGGTACAGCACATTCCGCCGGGGGAAGAAGGTGAGTTGCTGGAGACCAGGAGGGAGAATAATGGGAAATGAGTGGGAACCGACACACACACACACACACACACACACACACACACACACACACACACACACAGTTGGGGGAGGGGTTCAGTCAACAAGAGCAGGACAGGCTGGCCTCCGCCTTCCTGGAGATCAAAGACTTGGGGCGGGGTGGGAGAGGCCTGCAGTGTCAGATGGGTAATAGGCAGTTTCCATGCAGAATGCTAAGGAGCCCTGGTGGGGCTGTGGGTTCGGTGATCGGCAGCTACCTGCAAGGTCCATGGTTCGACTCCATCAGCCACTCCTTGGGATAAAGAGGAGGTTGTCTGTTCCTATAAAGCTGGACAGTCTTGGAAACCCTCTATCTTAGACCTGATGGGAGTGGGTATTTAGGTTTGCTATCGAGAGTGCTGGATCTGGGATGGAGGAAGCTTGGGGGGCGGGTAGCAATCTAGTGGTAGCTCCGGAAGTATCGAAAGGCCCCCCTGTTGTAGGGTCTCGGTTAGGGAAGATGAGGAAGGGTGTTTCAGGTAGAGAGAGCAGCATATCTATATGTAAAGGCCTGGAGTCAAGAGAGGGTGAGTGTCTGGTAGCAAAGGCCTGGAGTCAAGAGAGGGTGAGTGTCTGGTAGCGGATGTGGCAAGAAAAGAGACTGGGGAGGTGGACGAGGACCAGGCCATGGGCAGTGAGGAGCCATGGAATGTGTTTAAGGGAGGGAGGGGGCAGTCTCTCTGGGGGGCGATGTGGGGAGTGGGCTGGGGCCTTTGAGACCCAGAGGGAAGTTGGCCTGTTGCTTCAGGAGAGCGAGGAGGGCGTCTGGGCTGAGTGAGGTTGGTTCTGCTGAGACAGTACTAACTATGAGGGCGAGTCAGCAGGACTTGGTCATTGATTAGCTGGAGTTGAGGGAAGATTGGGGATCAAGCCCAGGTTTCCGGCTTGGGTGTCTCTCAGAAAACCCAAACTCGTTGCCCTGGAGTCGAGTCCATTCTAACTCTCAGTAACTCTCTGGGACAGGGTGAAACTGCCCCCCTGGATTCCCGAGGCTGCATCTCTTTACGGGAGTAGAACGCCTCACCCGTCTCTGGCAGAGAAACTTGTGGTTTCGAACCGCCAACCTCGTGGTTAGCATATAGCTCCTATGCCACCAAGGGTTCCTGGATTGGGTGACTGGTGTCTAGAAATGCTCTCTGGAGTGTGGACACGAATAGAAGGATAGATTCGACGGCGGGCTGTGTGTGTGGATACTGGGTTCAGTTTGAGGTTAATTTAGTTAATAGGCCCAACAGTGGGCACGTAGCAGCAAATACAACACCCTGCCTGACTTCATGAAGACGGCACGTTAGTGGGAGAGACTGACAGTAGTCCGGAAAGCAAATAGAACAGTGCTGTTATGTGAGGAGGGGACCCTGAGACAAGACTTGAACTGCTCGTAGTTTATCTGGAAGACGATTCCAGAAAACCTCAACTGGAGAGTGCGGAAATGATACAGGAAGAGAATGAAGCCCAAAAGGATGTATTATCAAACTGATGATCTGGGGCCAGTTAGGGCTTAGTCATATTTTTACTTAGCCTAAGATAAGCAAGGAACCCTGGTGGCATGGTGGGTTATGCGTGGGGCTGCTAATCACAAGGTCAGCAGTTTGAAACCACCAGCCGCTCCTTGGGAGAAAGAGGAGGCTTTCTACTCCGATAAAGAGTTATCATCTCAGAAACCCACAGGGGCAGCTCCACCCTGTCCTATGGGTCACCATGAATTGGCATGGACTAGAGGTCAGTGAGTTTTTTGTTTAATATAAACAAATTATTGTCTTATTTGTAATCATTTTTGGTAGCAAACATGATTTGAGAGATTCTGCTGTCTCTCTTTCTTTTTTTTTTTTAAAATACCCGTTCTTTAAAACCTGGGGTATATTTTGCCTCTGCAGCACATTTCAACTGATATGATAAATGTCACTGGAAATATTTGATCAAACTTTAGATTTCATAAAGTCCACAGTTGGAAAAGTAGATTCACAACACTTGGGAGGTTCCAAGTGGATCCCCGGCTGGAAGCTCTGTTATCATTTATAAAGGAAATAAAAAGTGAAAAACCAACCCCCACCCTACCCCCAACACAGATCCTCAGTCTCTGACCAGGTTCCAGATGCTCACAGCCCGGCACGGTTAGTGGCCACCGTGTTGGACACAGGAGATAGAGAGGACTCAGGAGGTGGCCGGCGAGCTCTCCGGGCCTGGGACTTACAAGACCGTGGAGTGAGCTGGAGGTGGAGTTGTGAGGTCTTTGTCTACACCAGCGGTTCTTGACCTGGGGGTCGCGACCCCTTTGGGGGCTGTCCAACGACCCTTTCCGCAAGGGTTGCCTGATTCATAACAGTGGCAAAATGACAGTGATGAAGTAGCCACAAAAATAATGTTATGGTTGGGGATCGCCACCACATGAACTGTGAAAGGGTCGAGACATTAGGAAGGTTGAGAACCGCTGGTCTAGAGGAAGATGTTGGTTGTCTGGAGAAGGAACAAAGGGACCAAGAATTGGTGGTCCAATGGGCCAGTTGGGTGGTCCGATGAGATGAGCCAAGTGGAGAATCCACTAGCTGGGAAGAGGGGTACAGGAGATGTGAAAGATTATTCTTAGGGTTCTGCTTTGGGTGACTGGGCAGCTGGTGAGACTGTCCCTGAAATGGGGACATGGTGGGGGTGTCAGGTCTGTCAGTGGATAGAGACTTGAGGAGCGTGGGGTGCTCCTCAGAAAAGATAGGGGCTAATGGAGCACCGCACCCCTCCCCATCCTGGCTTTGTCCCACCCCCAGTTCTCCTACGTGGATGCCGATGGGGCCGCAGTGAACGTGGTGCAGCTGACGTTCCTGAAATTGTTAAGTGCCACGGCCCACCAGCACTTCACCTACTCCTGCCAAAACTCCGCAGCCTGGCTGGACGAAGCCGCAGGGGATCACGGCCGGTCCCTCCGCTTCCTCGGGGCCAATGGGGAGGAGCTGTCCTTTAACCAGACGGCAGCAGCCAGCATCCATGTCCCTTACGATGGCTGCCGGGTAAGAGAGGAGGGCAGGGCTGGCCAGAGGGCGGGGTGGGGAGGCAGGCCTTCGTTGCTACTCCTGATGCACCCTCCCTGTCTTCTTGTGGGCAGCTCCGGAAAGGACAGGCGAAGACCTTCTTCGAGTTCAATTCTTCCAGAGTGGGGTTTCTGCCCGTGTGGGACGTGGCGGCTACTGACTTTGGCCAGACAAACCAGAAGTTTGGGTTTGAACTGGGCCCTGTCTGCTTTAGCAGCTGAACGTTTGGGGGTGGCTGGGAGGGACAGTGAGGGAGCCCCAGAAGGGGCACATTTGGTGCTGTGGCTTCGAAGCCACTGTATTTATCATCTCCTGTGACCGTGGAAGCAGGAGAGGGTCTACTCAACATGGCCAACAGATATTTCTTCTCCCTGCCAGGGTCCCGGGGGAACGGGGCCTAGCTGTCTGGTTCTATTTCACCCTCCATTCCAACACAGCTCGTGACTCCCCACCCTGAGCTCCCTTTTTCTCAGTCAGTGCCCTCGACACCCTTTGGTGCTACCCTTCCCCATAGTTAAGCACTGGACGTCTCCTGATCCCAGCCCCAAGGCTGAGACCCCTTTGCTCATTCCTCTTCCCAGCTGGGTCTACAACGAAGAGATTGAAGTCAGACTACAGAGGGAAGTGGGTTTTCCCTGGCTGAGCTGGAGATGTCTGCCACTGCCTTAGGCCAGCTCTGGATACGCCCCTGCATTCCCAAGCTCACCTTGCTATGCCAGGTGGTTTGAGGACCAAGGGGGTGGAGAGGAATCAGGATCCTAATGGTGCTGCCCTATTTATATCTGGGTTTGTATTAAAAGGGAAAGCCCCCTCTGTTGTATATTTAATCTGCTTCCTCCTTAGGGAAGGCTGGGATATGATGAGAGAATTCCAGTACCCCTCTGCCTCGGTCCACAGGGCACAGGTGGCATCTCAAGTCTGAGAATAAACCTGTGCGCCTGTCGCTGTCTGCTTGTGTCTTTCATCCAGCACTGGCCATGTCCTCCCAGGGTCTGACCGTACCTCACTGAAGACCTGCCACCACCTGTCTCGATTGATTCGCTGTGGCCATTGGTGGAGGTGGCTCACTATAATGGGGTTCATGGGAGATGGTGGGCCTGTTTATAACCAGCTCTCCACACTGACTTTGATTGATTCTAGGGTCTTGAACTGGGCTAAGAAAATGGAGAGATGAAGTAGGATATGGTCTTGGTGTTAGGGGGATTGACTGGGCTAAGAAGATGGAGAGATGAAGTAGGACATGGTATGGGTGTTAGGGGGATTGACTGGGCTAAGAAGATGGAGAGATGAAGTAGGACATGGTTTGGGTGTTAGGGGGATTGACTGGGCTAAGAAGATGGAGAGATGAAGTAGGACATGGTATTGGTGTTAGGGGGATTGACTGGG